AAAATGTATACTCTTATTGCTTCCTGTCTAAATTTACAGGCAAGAAATTCACTGGAAATAACTACACAACAACATTGTTATATTCATGGTCACATGGCAAATTACTGTTAAAACTAACATTTTAATAATTTTGTAAATTGTGGAACATGATAAATTGTCTTCCAAGACACAAAGATACACTGGAAAAAAGTGATGCTAGCAAACATGAAATGGAAAATTTATTCAGTGATACAAGACACACAGCGTCTCCATTTAACAAGCCATTTTGAATTAACCATACAAATTTCATTTGTTCCTAAAAACAAATTTCCACGTTTCCAATACGAATCACCATGTTTCCTTATTTAAATTTTTTTTTTTTCAATGTAAGTGCGTGCTAGCATTACTTTTTACAATGAAAAAATAATTCCAATTCAATTTTATTTCCCGTCCGTGTCCGTTCTTTGAATTAAATGACATTTTGTGTGTTATTCATAAATGTGCCCAAATATTATACTGTATTGTTTTGCCATGAAGTTTTTTGTTTTTTCGGGGGGTGGGAGGGGGGGTGGGGGGGTTAGTCCGTTGGTCACCTTGCTGAAAATCTGAAATCAGGTTATTCTCTGTCTCTTATCCTCACAGGAAGTGTCATTTATTTTGGCTAAAATATCTACTTTGGTTGATGATCGCCATGACTTTCTTTAGCTAGTTTTTTAGTCGACTATTTGTTGCTGGGCAGGCAGTGTGGAGTGTGTTTATCAAAGGCTGTTGTCTTGAAATTGCTGCCAAAGGTTGTATGTAGGGATTAGGGACTCAGTTACGAAGTCTTTGTGGAGACAGAGCCAAAGCTCGGTCGTATAGCTGCCAAGTTGGTGTTGATTATCAGCGGGTTCGGCACTGAATGTCCCTTTCAGATTACACAGAGTAAGTTTATTTAGTCTTAATATTAACTATCACTTAATGGGTTTTTTTTTAAGCTGTCAAACTACAAGCCATTATATTCAAACAAAATTAATACTAATTTCAGTTCCCTGCTTGTTTGTCATAATGTTTCTTGGATAAACGTAAAAAAAAAAAGAAAAAAGATGACCTGACTCATTTTGGTGTCAAACCTCTATTCAGCAAGATGACCAACGGACCACATTCAATGTAACTGTTTACACTATATTGTAATCGGATTCTGTACACAGACCCAAGAAGCCCCTCTGAATGATTTTTAGGTGAATCTGGCCGAGCACATACATGCACGCACTTATTCCACCAGGAAATCATTTTGTTTCCCGGGCTTGTCGAAGAAATACGAATCAGCTGATGAGGTCACTGGAGGATTTCAACATTTCCCATCCTGCTGCAGTGATGACTCTACTGATAGCTTTGTCATTTCTGTGTCATACACTGATAGTATTTTTTTAAGTGAGTGAGAACTGAACAGAATGAAGATTAAGGCGGATGTCCCCGTGTGGTAACATTCACGTGCAGTTCGAGTGATTCGTGTGTAAAACGGCTGCTCATTATTTCATAATATATGAAAATGGACACCACAGAGAATACCGTACAAATATGACTGACACTTCATGCATTCTTTTTTGACCCTTCAAAGTAATGTAACATGCACAGTTTAGTCTTGTTTATTGAAAAGAACCCTTTAACTGTTAATTTGACAATCAGCATTTGGCTGTTTTTCTTTTTACTGACGCTCCCAGTTCAAAATTTTTAATATTTTCCAAAACAAAACAAACAGAATCAGCTCTACTAATTTACAAATTTGATATTTCAAATATGCTAATATGCCATTTTAGCATTTTAATATTCTTTGGTTTGAATTATAAGAAGTGCTATGGAATTGATTGTAAATGGAGACTTTTGGAATTGGCATACAATATTTTCCCCGGTGGTATTTCCTGTCCTTGTTTGTTAAGTGGTCATTTTCTTTAACCTTGGTACAACCTTCACCCATGATTTGGTCAGTTATATGTCTTGTCAAGGTTACGGTGCTAACCCTATTCTTTAATACTTTAATGTTAGTAACTATTTTAATAAGTAACACTCCCTGATTCAGTATATATGCCAAGAAGAGCCCCTAATTCCCTTTTTTTTCCCAAAGTTTGAAACACAAATATAAACTGTCAAGTTTTAATGAAATCTTGGGTGTGTCGGCTCAGTTATGGGCTGTCTTTAACCTCTAGTACCAATACTTGGTGAGCCTCAGAAAGGACAGCTTAACGAAACTGCAATATTAAGTTAATTTCACATTTTTCCTGTCAGCAGTGGTGACTCACTCCTGGTAAATGATCATAGAGGAAACATTTGCTTAATGGCGCCATTCACTCTTTTTTATCCTTCTGCAATATTGCAGGCAGTTTCTCTTCTGAATGTAGAAGCAAACACTCGAGAAGCTTTGAAATGCAGCAGCAGTTTAGTCAGACTGCATGAAAATGACTAAAAAAAAAAAGCTAAATACACTTATTTCACTGTAACATACAGTGACACACGTCAATGCTATTTTTTTAGAAAATCACATTTTTCTAGATGGCTGAAATCTAAATCTTTCCCGTCTTTCAAAGCCATAATCTGGTCCTTATAAGAATCATGTATGTACTCAAAACAAGCATTTTCAACACATCTCTGCCCTCTTACATGTGTACTTATGTGTGTGGACACTTACATGTGTGTCATTTCTTTTCTTCGACTCTGAGTGTGTGAAGTCATCTGTCTGTGAATCGATTCTGAATGAAAAGGAGCACTTTACGGCATCTGTGTAGTCAAGAGGGCAATAGTGCTTGCTGTGATTATTCTGTTAAGTATGGTTGTATTCACTGTAACTGCATACCAAGCAATGCACTGATCGACACATTCTACATAATCTGTATTTTATGGACATTTTGATTGCTACAAATTATTTGTGCCTTGGCCTACTACAGTACAATTTTTTTGTCATTTTTTTTTTTTAATTTTGGCCATGCTTGTCTTGCTATGGCTGTCAAAACACAGCTGTTGACAATATCTGTGTGGAAGGCTGCATTTACACACAGAATAAATAAATCATCTGATTTTTAGATTCATCCCCAATCAGAAAAAAAAACCTAGACTGATATCCTAATTAAGAGAAAAAGGTAAATAGTGTGCACATCCAAACCCACTTATAACTGCAGGACAAAAACAGCAACAAAGGAAAAGAAGAGGCTGTTTGCGCAATGAATTAAGAAAGATCCTACATTTTTTCATGTTTCCTAGGTGAAGATCTTGCAAGTCGAAACCTTTGCATAAATAAAAAAAAATTGGAGCTTTCAAATTTCATGTTGTAGCCTTTTCCACGAATACTTGAAAGCACATCCAACTCGGGGTAAGAGGACATAGCAGTATATTTTTTTGGCATGTAGCTTACCTTAAAAGGTTCCTCTCTAATCAAATGTTGGTATTCAAATCTTGCAGCAAGCACAACTAGTGCCATGACAGAGGTCCACTGGAGAATTGATTTTAGATAAATAACGCAAACAGTCTGTGTAGAAGACGTCAGGTTTGGGCTTCTACTAGCTACATCAACTGTGCAAATCAAATGTGTTTAATTGTGTTTCTCCACATGTTTACACAGTCTTATATGAGATAAACTAAACTGCTTGTTTTCTTCAATATGATTTCACAATCTGCTCTCATGTATTTTGACTATGGTAACTGTTGCACTGTAATAAACTATGGTGAAGTCCGACTGATAAAATTAGTGTTTACTAAAAATAGGCCTACAGAATCATCCCGTAATTGGAAACTAAAAAACCTGTTCCAAAGTGAACTGATCAAGGCACGCTTTGGCACAGTCCCTACCTTTGAAGAGGTTGTGAAGTCCGACTGTCTGTCTCAATCATTTATATTCCTTTAGTCCGGAAGTGTCCATCGATCAATAGAATCAAAAGCATTTTTCATAAAAGTATTCCATGTTGAGAATATTGTCATGTGAAGTCCACTGCATTTTCCAGGGACAGCTCCAGCCGGGGACAGGCCACCAAAATCAGGGACTGTCCCCGGAAAACAGGGACATCTGGTCACCCTACTTGATTTACCTCAGTCTGTCAAGATGGTGAAATTTAACCCACAACAGTCTTAAGTGTGCATTAAAACCACTGAAATTATTCAATAAACAATGATATTAAATTATTAAAAAATATATTTAATCTCTTTCTAGACAAATGCATTAACCGCATGACATGCTGTTGACCAAGTTATGTTGTTGGGTGATTTTTTTAGTCATTTGCATTAGTACAAATATTTTTCCATTCTCTGGAGCAGAACACAAACGTTCCAGTTTCACTTCAGCTCTCTATACTATAGGAAGCTGTTTGAAAAATGTGCCAAAAAAACTGCACACTGTGTAGCTGTAACTTCAAAAGGCCAGATACTACGATCACTAGCTAAAGAATTAAAAATAGCACAATGCATTTTTTTTGATGGCACAGTTGGACTTGACCTCCGACATGGCTTCCTAGAGGAGAGGATTGATGTCATAGCAAGAGACAAGAAAAATATAAAATTTGCGATCATATTTTCTATTCTTGTGTAAATGCAGCCATTGCTAAATAAAAGAAACAAAAGAAAATGTCTTTACAAACACAGAGATAGACAGATATTACAGACAGCATCATGTGAGTTAACTGACAGCAGCTTTTTTGGGGTCAGAAACAGTTTTGTTGTTCTTAAGTTTCATTTAAGGGAAGTTTGGACAACTTTACACTAGTGGCCTTCAGAGCTGTGCATCATTTTTCTCATTCCAGTTTGAAAAAAAAAAAAAACTTGCCATTTCTAGTAGACCACTTTTAATATTTTGTTTTGATGATATAATATGCAAATGTATTCTTACTTGATTTTTTTATTTTTTGTCTTTTCAATTGCACCAGTTATTAATAAAGTACCGAATTGAAAATTGTGTGAGTGGATATTGTATAAAGCTGAATATTATTATAGTTGACACCATGACCTTTACTCTAGCCTTAATCCTCAGAGAATGAACCCTTTTGATTTCTAATTACCCCATGACCTCCATACCCCACACTGAGGACAAACTTTACAGTTCTAGCTTCACTGCAGGTAAGGCTGTAAGATCAGCTAAATGGAGTTTTTCTATATGTGTATTTACTATGTATAAATATTTATAAGGACTGAAATAAACAATCTGAACTGATTTAGTTCTTAATTAATATTGAAGGAAATTGTAATTTTACAAAACTGCAGCAGCTTTGAAGTTCTTCTGAAGCCTGGGTGGTCAAAAAATGAACTGCACACAAATTAATAATTTATGCTGCTCACCATGGGTTCATGATTGGTTATGAGACAAGGGGCCTGCATCATTTAGATTTAGAGAGCCAGGCAGCATGGTTTGTATAGTTATTATACATCTCTGTTTTTGTTCTGAGCATTTTTGGAGTCATTCTGTGCATCTTCGTGGCTGTTATGGACGAGACATTAGCAGTTTGTAGTCATTTTGTGTCTCTTTCAAGAGACACTTCATTTTTAAGTCACACTGGAGACACGAAGTCACATGTTTTTCCCCCATTACCACCTGCTAGTTAGTTTTTGGCAGTTGGATCAAAAATGATTTAATTTGTATTTCTAAGACATACTTATTTCTTTTAAATCTTTTCTGTGCTTTTCACGCTAATCCTGTTTTTCAGTCTTAATAAGCATAAGAATGAAGGCAGCTACAGTGTGTATAGTGTTTGTGCCAGTTATTTCATTCCTCCTTAGTTCATTTTATTTCCTTCTTGTCATAATTATTAGCTAAAAGTCTGTGTATCTTTTCCCAGGGGGCAGCTGTTCCCAGGCCCTCAGCAGCCCCGTTTCCTCCTTTGCCAATTACTGCTGTGTGCCTGAATGTGCCTGAATGTGTCTGCCAAGGCGACCAAAGTGCCCACCAATCCCTTGTCATTAAAGACTCGCATTCACTCCTCTTATTCACTGATCTTCCCCACGGCTCATATGACACTCCAGCGGCTTATTACAGCCATTTAGCTACACTGTAAAAAATGTCCTCTATTCTGAGTTAAATTCTTTCCTAAAATAAATTAAAAGTTTTGTCCTGGCAGTGACATGTCCAACACATTATTTTGTCAGTGTTTAACAGGCCAATCGATACTGTATCAGGCTGAATAAAGTTATAACAACAGCTGGTTTCATTCTGTAAAATAAACCCGCTCAAGTTTTATGAAAGTTTAGAATTTTGAAAACATTTAAGTTATGAAAAAATAAATAATAAAATCAAACATCAGCTGAGAGTAACTTTTTAAAGAGAGTTTAATAGGTTTTAAATTATATGTAAAAAGGTCAGAAATGGGTGAACATGAATACAGATATAAAAAAAAAAAAAAAATTATCAACACCTCTGTGTTCTCGAAGCTGCCTTTGACAGAAACTGTGACTCAGCATTTTTCATGACAAACACACAGTATTACTAATGTATTCAAAAATATGGACTGTTTGAGGCTAAGAAAACCTTTTCCACTGCTTGGTGACAGGAAAATGTTTGTTTGATGTAAAAGGAATAGATAACATCTGATGTCCTGAAAGAATTTTATACAGTAAACAGTATATATATATATAAAGTCACATTTCAGGACTTTGGGGCATCCATAAATTTGGACAAAAAAAAACATACTTTTGGAAAAAAAAGTCACTTTAATACATTTTTGAAAAAACAAGTGTGACTGATGCAGAACACTCTAACACTGAAATAGGTTTTGATGCTACATTAGTGAGTGAAATCTGAGCTACAAAGGACCACAGCTCTTTTTATGTACTGTTGGTTTATTTTATTTTGATGGGAATATGTATGGGTGGAGTCTGTGTTTATGTTGTTTTTTCTAGAGGATATACAGGAAATCATTAGTAGTAAGTAGTAAGTGTATGAAGCTGTAAGGTTCTTGCATCATGCTTCATATGTAAAATATCATGAAATGCATCAACTGATAGTGTTACAGCAGGGGCTCAGAGAGAAGCAACGTAAAAGAAAGAAACCCAGAACTACAGATGAAGACAAAGACACTCTTCATGTGTTAATGTCATTAGAAGACAAACTGCTTCTAAGCCACTGTGGTTCAGGTTGTCTTCAGGTCTTTGTCTGTTCTCAAAGCAGATGCAGTGCACTGTAAGTATCCGGGTGTTGCTTGAGTGTAAATCATAGTTGTAATGGTGCAAATCGATTGGACACTTCACAGCCTCAACGGTCGCCATCTTGGCTAAAGAGCGGAAGGGGAGGGGCCACTAACCAATTTGAAACGTGAGAAAATGACGAGTGAAGAAAAGTCGGCGGCGATGGTGGCTTAATTTTCATGTGGCATGACACGGGGGGCACACACAGGAAAGTAAAACGTTCATTTTGAAGTCATGTTACCTGAGCAGCCGGCAGGTGGGCGACAATCGCGGTCACCTGACTTTTGCGGTCGTCATTTGCGGGTAGTGCACGACACAGCGTTTGATTTGGGACAACACTAACCTGTCGGGAGCTAGTGAGTATACTGTGTACATAGTGCACTACACAGTTCAAGAGACAGTAACCATGCTAACCTTTCACCACAGGCTTTAGTTGCCATCTTTTGTGTGTAAACAAATTCACACTTTTTCAGACTGTGTTGATAAAACCCAACTTAAAGGTGCACTATGCATTCCTGCATGGTTTCAGCGCATCTCCCCTTGATCCGCTAGCTGCCTGCCCCCTGAATACACTGTGAAAAAGCGCTGTCTCTGGAGACAACACAGGCGTCACAAACGGCAAACAAACACTAGGGGCAGTCCGATGCAAACATGGGAGGGGGAGGGGCGAGCTTGCTCTGTTTTGTTTGGTATTTACTTCGAACGTCAACACAAGTGACGTCATGCAGGAATACATAGTGCACCTTTAATCCAGGTAATCACAGCCCTGTCTCACTGAGAGAGAGTTGCAGGTTAAAAGAGTTAACCAGCTTTTTGATTTTTAGACATCTAGATTATGTTTCACCATCCAGCAGCTTTTAAATGACTGTACTTCAGTGTGAAGTTTAATCGAACTGCACGATGAACAGAGGAATGCATCTACTCTGGAAAAAGTTGCCATGGTATCATGTGATCTCTGGGAAGTACATTGCAGAAAAACAACACTTAACACTCTATTACACTGTATAGCAACTTATGAAACTTTTTGCTGATTGTACAATAGAGTGATGAATTTCAGCTGAACTTGAGTCCATGATTATGACCTTAAGTTGGGTATTTTTTGCAGTGGAGCTGCTGGGTCGGGTCTGGGATCGGTGCCCAGCCTGCAGCCAGACACCATGTTTAGTGTGTGTGTGTGTGTGTTTTTTTTTTTTTGCCAGTCTTCTGCCAACTGCTGCTGTTCAGAGAGGAGGGAAAACAGGCATCGTTTAGTCCTTATCTGACTGTAGGTGTGTGATACACTGGGTGAGGTTTGATGCTGCCGGGGGCATCGACGGCGCTGCGAAACTTACGGGAGGTTTCAAGGAGCAGGTGAGCTGCGTTTGATGGTTTTCTCTCAGTGGATCAGAGGGTGTGTAAATAATAGAATTATCTCACAGTTTGAAGCCTTGGACTGAAGAGTGGGTGAAAACAACAGACTCAATAGATTGCCAAGTATCAGCCTTTGAATTCAGTCACTCTTTACCTCTTTGTTTTGTCTTTATTTCAAACTCATGAGTTACATTACAGGTTCTAAATGATAAGTTTTACTATTAATGCCTTAAAGAGCCTGGTTCTGGATACCTATTTTATTCCATCAATGTAATCATTTGTACCCTTCCAATAATACACTTTCTGTAATTAATGTTAAAACATCACCATTTAATCTGTCTCGTGGATGTACTTCATGATTCGTCAATGTGTTATCGACTTCCCTTTTTAAAAATCAATTTTATTGGATGACAAATAGTTTTCCTATTGGAATGTTAATAGAGCTGCTGCTGTTAATGCTTGAATGGATGAAAAGGCTTTTTACTGCAGCCAACAAGACAGAGAGCAGGGGGAAAATTAGACAATTATGTAGTTTATAATATTTTTTAATCCAAATTTTAAGGTATTTCTTATTAAGAATAGTTTGTATTTCCAGCGGTGTTGTGAATGTCCACTGATGGCAGTGGTGGGGATACATCCTGATGACATCATTGTGTAGGGAGCAGAGGATGTTTTGCACACACACATTCACAAAAGTCAATAACCTTTGGAAGCTGTTTGACCTCGGCTCAAAATTTACCTGAGACACCTGCAGGTGGAGCAGCTGAAACAGGAGAAACGTTGATCCAGCTTGTGTGTTTGTGGGTGTTGTGGTTGGAGCAGGACTTGAGCAGGACTTGAGCAGGACTTCAGCAGGGCCATGGCAGGCTTACAGAGAGCCACACATTATCCACGTCTCTGCTTTATCATCTGTGCTACTACTATTTTACTCCTCATCCTTTTCAGCCAAGGTAGGTCTGAACATGTCCTGATTTTCAGTTTAGTCTCGTAGTCTCGACTTTATAAAATCTTTTATAAACATGTCATGTTTTTGAAATACTGGACGTCCTTTGGCGTGGGAAACTGTGACCTTTTATATATACAGTCAAGTCACAATAGTTGTGACTGAAAAACGTTTCTTGAACTAATCCTGAGACAGTCTCACCTGCTCTGATATTGTCACATCTTTATCATACATTTCAGCCTGAGCACAGCCTCAGATCCTCGGGCAGGGCTCCCCACCCCCGGCCTGAAGATCTGAGGCTCCTTAGAATATCTCCTTAAAATATGTTGTTTAAAAAAAAAAGAAAAAGTCTTTATTAGATTTTTGTTATATATAGTTTTAGTTGCCTAGCTCCACTTTATTTCATGTAATTGTTAGTGAATTCATTTGATTTATGTCTGAATTTTATTCTGTTTTTGGATTTGATGGATCATTTCTTATTGATGGTTTGCAGTTTATTATTATTATTATCATTCTTATTCTCATTATAGTGTAATATTTTACCCCTTCAATAGAAAAACTATTCGTAAAACCTTTCAATTCAATGAAATTCAGTTCAGTTGAAAATGTGGTGTTCTGGGTTGCACTACAGTGTACAGGAGACGTGGTTAAGAATAAAGCTCAGATCAACGCTGAAGAAATTAAGCTGCGTTCAAGTCACAGGTGATGTTGTGAAGGCTGCAGCTTTGTAAGTTGAGGAACCGTTCAGTGTTGGAGAACCTGGTTTTTAATTTCAGTTACAGTTTTACTTTATTTCACCAGGATAACAATCATTTACTAAACATTTTAAAATTTTTAATTTTCAAATGTAGTTTCCTTTACATCTCCCTGCAGCATTAAGACACAGACAGAAGGAAGACAGGCACAGAAGAGACATCCTGGACACTACAGGTGATTCTCGTTTCATCTTATTGTAGGCTTCATCTGCTGATGTCAGTCAGCAATCCACTGTCTTTATTCAACAAATCCCTGTCCAGAAAACTGAGCGTGAACAACAAGTCACAGTGACAAAGAAACACAGGTTTTTATTGACATACAAGCTCAATTACTCACACTTTGACATGTTGTTAATAGTTTTTCTGTTTGTCTTTTTAACTTGATCCTTTTATATTAGTAATGCTATGAGTTAGTAATAAATCTCATTTTATCAGGGACTTATTACTGGTGATGGTGCTAAATGATTTTGTTTTTGAAGAAGAGACAGTTTTCAATGTCAGAATAATATGACAGTTTTCAATGTCAGAATAATTGAATGACAGATAATCGTGGATTAGAGTTAGAATCTTTTTCAGAATCTAAGAACATGAAATAGTCAATGTGGAAAACTGTTAACAGATCTTATCAAAACTCAAAATCCATTTGTTCCTGCAGCCATGGTCTAATTACCCACCAGATTGCACTAATAATGATTATAAAAATAAAGACACATATCCATAATTAATAAAATGCCAATATAGGCTCAATATATGAGACTAACCCTTACACTGACCACATGTTATTTAAATAACCACCACCCCAAGGGCTAATCCCTCTGGGTTACTGTCACTTTTCTGTCATTTTACTACATCTTGCAATTACACTGCCACATTTTGCTGATGCTGCTAATTCCATAATAGAGATTAAAAGCAGAATAAGCTCCCATTGACTTAACTGTCTGCTTTCATTTCCCAGAAATCCCAGCAGAGCTCATCGATCCAGCTGCCATCGACCTCACTCCCCTGGTCAATACTTTAATAAATTCAAGCCAATCGGGTACGTTGTCATAATATCATTCAAGTGGAGGATCAATTCTGAGCTGTAAATCTTTCATGTATGCCATGATTAAGCTACAGCGTCAGTCTGTTCCTCTGTTTTTTTTTCCTACAGAGGTCAAACGGCTGCTTAGTGTCATAAAATATCGGCTTTAAAGGACCAGTTCACTCCAATCTCCAAATGAACCTCTGGTATCTGTTCACATATGCAGTTTTATTGGCTGAGGTTATGAGATGTCTGTCTCTAAAACAGCTCAGCACAATGGCGGTGAAAGGAATTAAATCAGTGCTGCTCAAAGCACCAAAAAAAATGGGCAAAAAACATATTTATCCACAAACTGTGTCACTGTTACTCTTGATAATATTAAGACATATGTTTGTTGTTCCGTTCAACCATCACCTGGACTCTGCAAAGCCTCACAATATAATATAAATGTCTGCATTGCTTGATAACACTGGAGGTAAAGATGCTGTTTTTGGAGATTTGAGTGAACTGACCTTTAAAAACCTGGTTTGTGACATTTAGGGTAAATTACCTGACAAAGCAGTTAAATTTAAGTGCCTCCTAAAGGTTTTGTATATGACATATTTACATGTTCTGCAGGGCTAAGATATAGGCTACTAAATTCAAATTCAGTTTTCATAAAATTAATGAAAGGTTGAGGTTTATTAAATTTATTAAAGACATTCAAATTTAAAACTGAGCTAATTCCATCGTCCATTTAAAGTTTCAAAACTTAATATTCAACCGTCAAATTGTTGTTTCCATTCCAGAAATGTAAATGTGACTTTAGCTCTACCAATACAGAAATGTAATATATGTCCCTATATCAATAGTGATACACTCACCGGCCACTTTATTAGGTATACCTGTTCAACTGCTTGTTGATGCTAATATAGAATAGGCCAATCACATGGCTGCAACTTAGTGCATTTAGGCATGTAGACATGGTGGAGACGATCTGCTGAAGTTCAGACCGAGCAGCAGAATGGGGAAGAAAGGTGATTTAAGTGACTTTCAACGTGGCATGGTTGTTGGTGCCAGGCGGGATGGTCTGAGTATTTCAGAAACTGCTGGGATTTTCACACATAACCATCTCTAGGGTTTTACAGAGAATGGTCTGAAAGAGAAAATATCCAGTGGGCGGCACTTCTCTGGGTGAAAATGCCTTGTTGATGTCAGAGGTCAGAGGAGAATGGCCAGACTGGTCGGTGCTGATAGAAAGACAACAGTAACTCAAATAACCACGCATTACAACCGAGGTATGCAGAAGAGCATCTCTGAACGCACAACAGGTGGAACCTTGAAGCCGATGGGCTACAGCAGCAGAAGACCACACTGGGTGCCACTCCTGTCCGCTAAGACTGGGGCTACAATTTTCAAGGGCTCACCAACATTGGACAATAAAAGATTGAAAAAAACGTTGCCTGGTCTGATGATTTCTGCTGCGACATTCGGATGGTAGGGTCAGACTTTGGCTTAAACAACATGAAAGCGTAGATCCATCCTGCCTTGTATCAACGGTTCAGGCTGGAGGTGGTGGTGTAATGGTGTGGGGGACATTTTCTTGACACACTTTGGGCCCCTTAGTACCAATTGAGCATTGCTTAAATGCCACAGCCTACCTGAGTATGGTTGCTGACCATGTCTATCCCTTTATGACCACAGTGTACCCGTCTTCTGATGGCTGCTATTTATATGTATGGAAATTCAATATATGTACATGTATAACATTTGCGTACGGGGAAAAAAGATACTCAAATGTGACATTTTAAACTTTACATTTTTGCTTGGTGGAGACTTTTGGACAGAGTCCCGACGTGTCCTGGAAAGCCTGGAAACAGTTGAGCAGTTTTCCAGTCATGTAAAACACATGGGAATTGGGAAATTAGAGAAAAAGTTAAATGTAGCGGAAAATATTGTGTTGTCCTGGAAAGGTATTTAAACATTCTCATATTTTCAGGTAAAGTTGTGTTCAGGGTCATGTCAAATGGTAGGCTAGTTTATGGACAACAGTATTTTCAACAGGCTGCTGTTTTGAATGCACCTCAAAGTCACATCACCTGCTGTAGGTTGGATAATTTACAACTTTGGCGGGAAAAACTCTGAAGAACTTAAGTTACATAAACCTTTAAATGTACGTAAGTCACTGTTGGCTGCTAACTGTGGTGGTTTTTATTAGGATTATATATTAGCGTATTCTTCCCAACGTGTTTTATACCATTGAATAATGAGTTTGCATGTTTTGGTTCAGTTGCTTGCTAGCTTGTTTTGCCTGTACCTAAAGGTTTAAGGTTTGCTATTCAAATCTGGTGGAGCAAAGGCTTTAATGTGTGTTGTTTCATTGTTGGAGAGCTTAGATAATAACACACACAATGAATGGGAGCCCATCTGTGTGTTAGCCAAAACACTGGCTAAATGTGCGCTAACGGCACTTTTTCTTTTACTTTGCAAGCAACTTTGTTAGCGCAACTTTAAGCGATGCTGGGTTCAGGGAACAGCTCACAGTGGGTGTGATTACCCTCGTTAAGGACGTGACTCCCTGTTGCTAGTAAAGGGGCTAAAGTGTGATAAACTGACGTGACCCAGCGGCAGTAAATAATCTAAGATAACTAAACTTTGAATCTACTTTTAGCTAAAATTCAATCTGGATTTGTCAGTAGGGAATTTGTAGGCTGCTATTTGCGTTTTTGGTGTTCAGGCAGCAATGGTTAATAAAATTAGTTAAGAAAAGAAAAAATTGAGTCAGTGTGAATTAATTAATGATGATGATGATAATAATATTTCTTTTATTTACATAGCACTTGCCAACCAATCAATTTGTAATTTTTTCATAATTCATTAAGCATGTAAGAGTGAAGCATGACTTCCACAGATCCACCTGTCTGCCATATGAGCTACATCATCACTGAAAATGTCTTTAAAGTGATCTGTAGAAAAGAGTGAGCCTGACTGGAGGATGAAATGTTGTGGATGAAACCAAATCCATAAATTATGCCCTGATTTGCATCAGTTTTTCTTCCCGTCTCAATGTAATATTTTGTGGGTAAAATCTGGTCCATCATAGGTTTCAGTCACAAGCACTGATTAAGTGTTTTCATCAGTGATGACGTTCAGTGGTGGTGGTCTTGACGTTCCTATAGTGAAGTGTAGGTGTTTTTCTCTGACACTGGTGGCACTTTTCATTCAAGTAGAAGTCATTTGTGAGATTTTAATGACTGACCCACAACCTTTCAATCTTTCATTTTTCTTAACCAAGTGGTTTTGAGGTTTTAGTTTCCTGAACTTATGTTGAACTTTAACAATGCAGATACTGTCTAAACTATAATATTCACCCTCCTTGTCCCCTAGGCTCCCGTCAGCTCTTCTCCCTCCTCAGCGTGACGTCCTACAGCTCTCTGGCTCTCCATAAACTCACCCTGCTGGTCTACAACAGTAAGTATTAACTTCATATGAACTTCCTCCTCCTCTGAAGCTGCTCAGAGACTAAAGAGATTAAAGTGTAGAAACCAATCAGCCATACTTTGTAGTGGCACTGTGCTGAGATGAGTCTATAATAAATATAACTTTGTCAGTGCTGCCATCTTGTGGTGTGAGTGGGTAACTGCCTGTAGTGTACAACACTTAAAACTGCATCAGAGACAAGGTTTTAAGGTCTGAACATGTAATAAGGATTTCAAAATAATAGCATTAAAACTAATTTATTGAGTCAGTGAAAGGAATGGGTGTTTATAATAAATTCATCCAGTGGGTGCAGTTTATTGTGTATTACTAAGTTAAAACAGTTAAATAAGAATAAGACAGTGTTTCCAAGGGTCCTTGAAATCATTTAAAGTTTGTGGAGTTGAAAAAAAAAATCAAGGTTGTGAAAGTTTTTGAAAATAGACTTGAATTAAAGTGGGTCTATTATATTGTGCAAAAATAGAAATTGAAGTTCATTTGATATTTGTTTGTTTTTACTTAGCAATAGTACACAGGATATGTGTGTCTCAGCTGTTCAACTTGTTTTGCTGCAGTGTGCTACAGAAAGTAAGACACCACACAGTCTGTCATCACTGCACAATTGAGAAGTGTTCACACTTCTGTTTTAATTGTTGTCTGTGAGCTCCTGCTAGTTCTCATTGTAGAAATTCTTTGTGTTGTCTCAATGTTGTGTAATGAACCTTTATCCATTTCTCAGACTGTGCCATTTTGGGTCCTTGATTTGAGGTAAAGGAAAGTCCTTGAAATGTCCTTAAATTGGATGTCCAAAAGGTGTGGGAATCCTGATAAAACAAGAATAAGAAAGTTGAGGAAGTCTGTTGAAATGTGTTAGGAGACACTTTCAGACACACTGGAGATTTAAATAAGAAAACAGCTTCACTCTGGATTATCTGTTAAATTCAGGCCCTGTCAGTTTTAAGGTGTAATGTGTAAGATTGTGCTACTTGATCCACCTCCATAGAGGGCAGCATTTCACCTCTTCGCCCCTGTCCAGGTAATCATGTTGTTGTTTTCCCCATGTTCCTTATAATTTATCATTTATATGTGCATTAACTGTTGATAGTTAAAATTATTGATAGCACTGAAACAAATTATGAGTACTTGTAATACAAACAGTATGTTTTTATTTACCGATAAAAATATGAAGGCAAGGGGAAACTGCATGACACATGGGTGTCAGGCTACAGCAGCATGAGGAAGGGATGATGACATCATCACAAAGGCACAATCAGTAATAAGGTTTATTGTCAGGTAGGTTTTTACTTACAAGATATTTGGCTTGGTGTTTGATGCAGTATCCAATAAACATATTAACAGGAAATAACAATAAAAAGGTAAAATACTGCAACAGTCAAAAAGAGAAATACACATAGATACACATATTAAAAAATAAAACTATGAAAAAAACTATGTACAAAAGTGTTGACAAAACTCCTGCTGAGGTACAGACTAGCTAGACTACTACCGACTCACACAGCATCTAGTGTCATAAAGTGGTATTACAACACAGGACAAGTCGCAGCTAGTTGGTTAGCATGCTCATTTCAGTAGATATCTCTGAAATACAATAGATGGAGGTCTTGGTCATGACATCATCACTGTGGCCCCTTCACATAATATTGATGGTGTTAGTTCATTTTTTGAACATTTTAAACTAAAATTCAGCTCTTACACGTCGCACCTTTAACCTTTAAGTCTCAGTGTCTGTAACAGTGTAAGTGTCAGTTTTAGGTCAATGCCTCTGAACTCTCAAAATCAGTATTTAAATCAGGTCATAATGCACAGAAGCTGTTTCTTTGTGTCTGCACTTGTTTTCTAAAACTTGTATTTCCATCAGACGCTCTGATGTTGCAGTTTCAGACTCTGAACTGTTGTTTTTCAGTTTCCAGCATCAGAAGTGTAGAAAGCAACTTGTTCAGGAGAAGATTCTGTTACTGTGTCACAAATGAGACCAACGACTTAACTGGTAGGAACGATTAAACATTTGGTCTCATTTGAAGTATTTAACAATATTTTTCTTTTGTGAACTTTGTAAACAATTTTACTCCCAAACTGCATTTCTCATCAGACTTTACAGCCATTCTGTTGGATGTGATCGGAAACTCAACCAGTTACCTACACGAGCTCTTTAAATCTACCTCCATATTATCAGGTATGTGGATGTAAATGGGGAAAAAAATCATATCTTCATCATATCATATATTCCATGTTGTTTACAGGCTGGTCTTCATAATGAGATATAGAGTATTTACAGTGTGTTTTCTGTTTGTGTTTGTCAGTGAGCCAGAGGAACAACTCTGACTGTATTTACATCTGTGTGATGGCAGGTAAGATGGGTAAGTAGAGCTCAATACTACAATACTTTACTTATTTTATTTTATCAGTTATTTCATCTGTTGCCTTGTGTTTAAGAAATATATGACAGTAATGTTACATAACTTGCTAACACACAATATATCTACCTTGTGTTTAGAATACACAGAGAAATTACAAACCTGGTAAAAAGCATGAATGCTTTTAGTCCCGTTTAGACTAGTAATTAGTAATTACTAGTAACTAGTAGTAGTGGTGGACTACAACTTCTTCTTCTAAAAATGAATTTTACAAATGCAAACTGAAAAATCCAGACTAAATCATATCATATTTATCTTCCAATTTTAAGTAGCAAAATTTAAATAAGAAAAAAAAAAGTTAAATGAATGATGTCCAAAGAACTAAGAGAATCAGTATCTGCTATTTAACTAAAGACAAACTGAATGTTTTGCAGATTGCTGTTGCTAATAAGAGATGAAGAGAGAGAAAGAACAGAAACAGTTTGATAATGGATTTGTCCAGCTCTGACCTCAATGAATCCTGTAATTAATCTTTTATTTCTCTCTCTTTCTCTTTTGTTAATGACTCCAATTCACAAACATGGGTCACATTGTAACTTGGAACACCTCTTCAACACTGCTACATACTGTACGTCATTATGTAATGTTCTATATCATCGAGTGAACACCAGGTTCTTCCACCATGTCACTGACACGTGAATATGAAGCATATTTTCCCTGGATATTAATGAAGTTAATTATTATGTCATTTGGGGCGTGAGGATGATGATGTTGGTGATGAAGATGAAGTGTCAGTGTGTTGCCGCATGTGTTTTTTGTCCAGGCAGAGAGGTGCCGGAGCTGTGGGAGGTCACCTCCATCACTCCTCTCTTCAACCAGACTATTGTGGAAGGGCCTCACGGAGGTCTGTTTAAAAACACACACTCACAGCCTCGCTTCAGTTACTGGACATTAGAAATAATCAAAAATTTATTAGCAGAAAAATAAATCCCTTAATATGTAAGACCTTTAAGAGATATCAAATCTGTTATGGTGTAATTTTGAGAAATGTTTCTAAAATGATACATAAGATATATAAAATAATACAATTTAATGGAATGGTGCTGCCATAAAAAACATGTGGTTTGAAAACATCATATAGTTTTAGTGAAGAGGTGAAACAGGATGTTTTTTTTCTACATTTAAATTAATTCATGGTGACATTTTAGAAAAAACTTGAGGTTTTAAAAGGTGAAAGAAGAGACTGCCACATGCTCAGCTTTTTTTTGTCATTCACTGACAGTATACAGCAAAACCACCAGGTGGCAGCATCACTTTAACACAAAGCCAGAACCTCAGGTGAAAAGCATTTAAATCTTTTTAGATTCTCACTGGTGTTTTAGACAGATGTGTGGGAAACAATGCTGAAGTTAAAACAACACATTTCTGCTATTATTACTGTATATTAAACTCGATTTAAAAATCCTATATGTCAGGTTTTTACTTTACAGCAGTTTGCCTCTTGCCCATTTCCAATATATCGTCTTTGTCATCTTGAATTTGCACAGAATGAATAAAATTTACTGAACTTTTCTTCTTTCTTTTCAAGCAGGTAACGTCTCCTCCTTCAGGCTCCCTGTCGGTGAGTCAGTCACGAGCGTCTGTTGTCATCCATAAGACACTAAAGAGATGTTTAATTCATAGTTTGTTTCCAAATATCTATTCCGAACCGCAGAATGGCACCAGCTGCCCACGAATCTGAGTCACATCTCTCCATCTGGGATGAGCTCCATGTTAACCAGCAGAGTCCATTCGACTGCACATGGTGAGTCTCTGCAGGAGGCTGCTGATGAATGCTTGGGTCATTTTATTTAAGATCAGACTCACTCTGTTAAATCTGCCATTAAAATGACAATTTTCCCACTAATTAGTGTCAAATTATATTTATAAACCTGTAAAATAAAGTGTTACAAAGAAATTAAGGGAATCCCTTCACATTTGGCACAAATGTCCACTGGGACTCAAGGATGAACTGATTAGATTTTGCTGGTCAAAATTCAAGGTCAGTGGGTCCTCACAAAACACTTTTTAGCCATAACTAACATAAACTTTCACACAAATGGTTCATATTTTAATGACGCTGGATAAACAGGGATGTAACCTGAAACTAGTCTGAGTGGAGGAGGCAGACGACCACCAGGAGGTGATTCTAATTTCCTCTTGTGTGTTTGGTTCGTCAGTTTCACCAACAACTATGGAAGAAACAGCTGCTCCAACAGCAGAGATCACCACCGCTCAGCCGCCGGCGACAGCTCAACAACCTCCGACCGTCGCGCCACAAAGTGAAACTACGGCAGACAGACTGGAGACGACAGTAGGGACGACACAAACGGTGATGGAACAAAGAGTTACAACACCAGGAGCGACAAAACCAGATGTGACAACAGCTCAGTCACAAGCTACACAAAAACCAACAACAACAACAACAACAACAACAGCAGTTCTGCAACCAACCAGCACCCCACCGGTCACCACCGTGTCCTTAACGGCTGCTGCAAGTACAACGCGACTGACCACAGTGTCATCCAAACCCACGACATCCTCACCAGTGATTAGTCTGAGTCAGATGACCACAGCTTCACACCTGCTGAGAACAATGACCCAGCACACGACTTCCACAGCTCACCCGACGAGACTTTCACCTGCCCGTCCTACAGCGGGAACAACAGTGGCTAGCTGGACTACAGGACCTCTGAGCTGGAGAACTACAACACCCAGCAAGTCTGTGGCAACAGAGAGACCAGGTAAAGATTTCTTGGATCAGTTGGTTTAATATTATGGAAATCAGTAGTTGGTGAAAGACACTGTGTCTGTGCTTGGTGTTGCATATAAAGAGTCAACCGGTCAATTATAGTGAAGCCTAGTGAAATTAAAGGGCTTGTTCACCCAAAAAGACTAAAAGACTACGACTGTGGTGGTATGTGTCCGTGTCCGTCATCCACACAAGCATCTTGTGACTGAAGCCTGAAAATCACAGATAGTACTCATGAGCATACTCTAATTAAAACAAGTGAAGTATGGGCATCTGTTGTAAGTATCTGTTGCTACATTAATCAAGCAAAAAATGTCAGCAAAGCAACTCTAGGGGTGTTAGTATATGTAAATCACCAATAGGTGCGACTCAAAAAATGTATTCAAAACATTGTTAGTTTATCTATTGAGGGAAACCAACTCTATAAAGGAGATTGAAAGATGTTTGTGATTAGTGCTTGTGGGCAGATGTTGACAACTTTTTTCTAACAGTGACGACAAATCCTCATACCTAAATGTCAGCATTGGTTGTTTGTCAATGCTTCCCAAGACAACACATAGAGTTTACCATACATCAGTGTTTCAAAACCTTTTCCAGCTCATGGTCCACTTGAAAATCTCAAAAATGTCAACCCATTAACAATATGGCGACCAAATAATGTCTTGGAGCAGTTTTTATTTTAATGATAACGATCAAACATTAATGACTGAATGAATGGAAAGCAGGGGAAGCTCAATTTCTCTTTTTTGTTTGACAGAGGAGACATCACCTGTTGATCTTATGTCTCTTTACTCTTTCCTTTTAATTCTTCCTGTTGCTAACCAGCTATTCATTTTGATGCTTCAGTTTGTGCCATGGATGTAATGTGTTAGCGCACAATCAGAGGTCAATTTGAGATGGCAAACAAGTATATGACGTGGTCCGGTAGCAACAACATTAAAGTTCCTATCATTGGCCTATTGCAGTGATTGACTGAAGTGTGAAAGGAGTTTTTTTTTTTGAATATTTAAAGAAACATTTTTTATGATTACATCTTTTCACCTAAATTGTACTGTTTTGCAAATGTTTTGTCGGCCCGCTGCAATACCTACACCGTCCACAGGATGGAAACCCGGTTGGAAACAGTTTTTTCTGATCGGTTGCTTGTGTGGGTGAGGTATGAGTGAGGTTAAGTAATTAAAAGTAAAGGTTGGGGAAAGATGGTTGTCAAAGGTTGAAAGGAGACAATGCCCAACAAACCACTACATCTCCTTCTTAGGAGGTTTTGAGATGCGCTACTTCCTCCTTTTTCTAGTAGGAGAGGTTGGTCATTATTCACACAATAAGATGTCACATGTTAAGAAAACACTAATGGGTCCTTTAATGCCTCGACTGAACTACCTGTTGTTCTGCAGTGAGTATAAAGCAAACGGCTGATATACGACCTCAAAACAAGACATAAAAATGCCATGTCTACATATTTATGACAAATAATTGGAGCAGTTGCCATGAAGAGCCTTTAAGAGCTGCAGTCATGAGGCTGCTCTCTGTTTGACAGTTTGACTCTGACTGACCTGCCCTCAGAAAATGACTGTAATCACATCATTTCTGGACACACCGACGCTTACTGATTCAATTTTAGCTGCGGGAAAGGTGTGTGTGTGTGTGTGTGTGTGTGTGTGTCTGGAGTGTGTGTGCACATGTCTTTCCATGGTAGTGTGGACAAATGTTTGTTTTGAAACCATCATTGTGATGGTTCAAAGAAGCAGTTAAGAAGCAGTTAGGTTAAGACTTGGTTTTAGAGTTCAGGTGATAATGTGGTTGGGGGTGAGGCATTTATCTGTGATGGTTAATGTTATGGTAAGGGGCTAGGGAAAGCGTTATGTCAAAGTGTGTCCTCACAGCTATAGAAAGACTAACATGCGTTTGTGTCAGAGCATGGGAAGAAGAGAGAGAGGAAGCCCTGCAAGAGGCTGAGATAGTAACCAAGGTAACACAGGCGCCCCCCCCCCCCTTATGTGAAGGCTTTGATGGCTTTACGCTGCAAAGGTTAAAAGCAAATTAAGGACAAATATTCATTGTTTTTCTGTCGGCTACATGATCAGTGAGCCTGTTGGGAGGGAAAAGAGACTCGGCAGAAAGACAAACAACAATACAAGCTGCATGGTTCACAATCAAAGACGTAAAATAAATTCTTGGGTAATATAAGGATTTGGAAATGTTACAGGCAGCTACAGCAACGAAAACCTAAAAGACTCAGTTTGAAAATATCACCTTCGGTTCCAGGCCAAAAATCATGTTTTTGTACCACTTCTCATCAGATTGTATGTATTATACCTTTTCTTTTCCAGAATGCCAAGTGTATAAATAACAATAAAATAAAGATGTGAAGTTGTTGAATAGTTGTTAGATGCAGAAAAAGGTTAAAATCTATTATATGAATTATTTACAAAAACCTCATAACCAGCAGGTAATGCTGTATATGCAACGACTTAACGACTGTGAACCTGTAAATTCCCCTCAGGTCAGTGGGACACAACTAAACCTGATCCACACATGTTGCTTTAACCCTCCGAGGTCGATGGATGTCTCTATTCATATCTTTGCGATAGTACAGCTTAGAAATATGGTTTAATGTTGTTAGACTCTGTAGACTGTCCACTTTACATTAGATAATCTTGCGAGATCATACGTGACTCATAGCCTAAGATTTGGTTAAAGTAGAGTGAAAGACAACACTACGACTCACTGGTGTTTCAAAATTTCATTTTAGGCATTTATTATCCATTTATCTACTATTCTACTCATATATTGCACTATTTTTATGACCCTAAAGACTTTGGTAAACCCATTTCAAGCACCAAAACAATTCATCCACATCAGTAAAGGTTTGTTTTCACAAAATATTTGAAGAATTTCAGAAAGTAGGCTTCAATTTTTCAGAATTTGGGCCAAATGATGTCTCTGCTCTACGACAATTATAAAAAGACCTGAGATTGTTTTGAAAATGTGTTATATAAAACACTTGGGTGTTATGTTACGTCCAAGTATGTTTTAAAAAGTGAATTTAAGAAATAATGTAGAAATTGAGAAAATGCCTGTTTAAAGACTGTGATGACAGGACTAGTGGTGCTTTAAAAAGGATGAAAAATAGGCAATCCCCTCAAAAAAGTGTATATATACTGTACAATTACACTTCAGTTGATAGTTAAAAATAAAAAGTTTAAATGTAATGTGAGCTACGACATTACAGAAACACCCTGAGGGAAGCAAATGTGTCAATTTACGTTGATGTATTTTCTTAACTTTCTCCACCATCCACTTAAGTACCTGGATTGTTTTTTGATGCCCCAGATTAACCACAGATGAGGGCATATATTGATTTGCTGGTTGACAGTTGGCTTCATGCAAACAGTGGGTGAAATGCAGCTGGACTGATTAAAAAGCTAAATTAATTTTTAAAAATGCTGTGCAAAACAGTTAAGTCATGATTTTTACCAATTTTAAATCAAATTCTTTCAAAGTGTCATTTTTAATATACTGTAGATTAAAAACATTTTTATATTTTGTCATAATCAAGTTTCCAGATCGTAAGTGAATATAGTTTTTAGCTTCCAGCCGAGGACTAAAAGGTAAAATGCTTCCTGCCGTCTGACATCTGAGACATTTATTAACTGATACACACATTAAATGAATGAATCCTACACACAGTATTTATTTCATTGCCTTTTACTCATCCAGCAGATGAAACATTAAACCATTTGCCCACATTTCCCAGCAGAACCACGAGATGGCAGTGACATCACACTGTAGAACCGTCAGCTGCTCCCCAATGAGTTCTGCCTAGCAACAAACAGAAAGGCTGGAGTGTCCTGTGCAATCTGTCACTGAGTCATTAGTGTGCATTAAAATGAGTGTTTGTCACCCAGCTGCACATCGTGCATCATGTGTGTGTGTGTGTGTGTGTGTGTGTGTGTGTGTGTCTGTGTGTGTGTGTCTGTGTGTGTGTGTCTGTGTGTGTGTGTGGACGTGTCATAGATTGACCCTGACATTTCTTGCATACACCAGTGATGAGAAGCCATAAATGGCGGCTCTGTGTTGGCTCTGTGTTGGCTCTGTGCTGGCTCTGTGTTGGCTCTGTGTTGGCTCTGTGTTGGCTCTGTGCCGGCTGCAGATTGTTTCATGTCAAGGCTTCGTTGCGTTTGTGTTGACTTTTTTGAAAAATGGAAACAGCTGCACGTTTTGTGTTTTGTGAAACAACACATAAGTTGAATTCTATTACACAACACTAAAGTATACATAAATGAAACTGGATAGGATATAAAGTAAATATTGGCAGATGTGGCTTTCTGAAGATTCAAATGTGGCATGTGACCCCACTTACAGACATGAGCTGCAAACCACGAGTCTGCTAACTGCCAATGACCCTCTTTTAAACTAGTAATAATAACAATTATTTTAAAATCATGCTTATTTTGCACCTTGTTAAGCTGCTTGAGTTTCAATTATGTTTAGATTCAACACTAAGCAGTTTGTTCTTGACAGAAATAAATTGACAAATATCGAATAGATTGCCATGAAAATTCATGTTAGTCATTCATGGTTCCCAGAGGATGAATCCTACTCACTTTGACTTTTCCCCTCACTTTTCCTCAAATACCACCATGATGTGTACATCTGTTAATTTGAGTTTAATATATCAATATTGGGGGGATCGCTATGAAATTTGCACCAAACATTAATTGTCTCCAGAGGATGAATCCTAATAACGTTGGTTACCTTGGTTTGTAACCAAGACGACAGGAAGGTGATGTACTGTGCGCACAGCCTTGCAGAATCTTAGAGGCAACACACATCAGTGGTGTGCGAATGATGCACAACACATTTTTATAATTATATTATTTATTTTTCACAATTAAACACAACTGAGCGAAAGGGAAAGTCAGTTAAGGTCAAAACATATGTAAATGTTAACTGAATATTCAGATTGGCACCTTATGTGAATGATTTTACGGCCATTGAAACGCACGATACATTTGTGTTATCATTTGTGAAATGTTATAAAATAAAATGTACCTCAGCCTTTTTTGTAATCATGCTGTACTGTAATTAATAAATTCTAGACTGAGAAATAAATAAATAAATAATAAAATAATTGAAGAAAAATAAACTTTGCATTGAAAACCGTTTCCTTTACATTTGACTGTCAAAAGGTTCGTGGATACCACCACAGGCACGATGACTGCAAAATGAGCGAATAACTGCAGAATGCGGAGAAGTATCTCATTGAAATTCACATTTGAATATGGATTTTTATGGTAATTAGCAGCCCGTGTACCTGGAATGCATTAATTATGATTAGAATGCATCAGCACCAGTGATTCCTGTAATGGGGATTTAAGTAGTGAAAAGACGTCATGCAGCATGAAAACAATGAGAGAATCTGAAGGATGGATGTGAGGATGGTTTACACGAAATCTCACTCGAATCACCACTCTGAGCTTCCAGAGGTTAATTATGGTCTCTTATTATTTTATGTGCAAACTTACCTGTGCGATAATTAACGTTTTAATTACTTTGGTTTTGTTTGGCAGATCAAGGTAATTGAGCCTCTGAAAGTGGATCAGTTTGGAAATACAGTAAATACAGTTAGAAAACGGGCTGTTTCAGAGCTGGTTTGCGACTTAACGTGACCTCTCACTCTGTCTGTTGAGAGGCTGTCCTTGGAGGAGGCCGGAGCTGACCGGTGAGTCGATCTCCAGCAGCACGACGGCGACGACCACCACCACCACAGTCAGCGCTCACAAGCTGCAGCCCTGCGTCCTCGAGCTCTGCAAGTTCTTCTCGCAGTGCCTCTGCAGACCCTTCAACCACAAGACGCGCATGAAAAGGTTTTTCACACCAGCAAATTACACTTTCTACATCAAGATGACAGATTGCGGTTTTAATGACGTGATTGTCGGAGAGCCAGGAAACTGGACGATCTCAGTGAGAATGAGGGAGAAACTAGTGAACGCAGAAGGTGATTCGCCTCCATTGAGAGTTTTTAAAAATATTCGTATGGAAAGTGAGAAAACAGAAAACACTGACATCCACAAAACATCTACACATGCTGGAGTGAAATACATTTAATGAGGTACACCTGGGTAACAAATGTCAGCACTCTTGGAGGACTACCTTACTTGATTTTTATTATATCAGGACCCATCCGGTCAAGATATGAGGGGTGATTGATAGGTTTCGTGGCCTAAAGTAAAAGAAGTCTTCTTCCTGGCTCCTCTGCCCCGATTGAATTCAGCAGCCCTCCGTGTCCTCGTGGACCTCCCCGGGTGACGAGCCCCTGGAGACTGAGGTAGCAGATGACTGCACCAAGCCATTCTCAAATGATTGTCACTTGCAATTTTCATTTACCGGGAACAGAAAAAAACACAAAAGTTATCAACTTCAGACTTTATGTATTATCACTCAAGAGTTTTGCTGCACATGAATGTGATCTCCTTCTACCTCAGACCACGAACTTATCAGTCACCCCCCAAAAAAGAGCTGAGGTTTGATCCCCAGCCCTAAAGACATCTTCAAGGTTTCCAGAGCAACAAAGGTCAGACAATAAATATTTACACACACGTCTCATCACTCAGGTGGACGTTTTTTCTGCTCCCAGCTTGACTCGGTAATCACTGATTTGCTGCTTTGTAGAAGAACGTGATTAGTTGTTGTCAGTGTAAATGCTTTAAATTGGGTTGAACAGTGGAAAGTGTAAGTCGCACATCAGTGTTAATTTGTGTTCATTCAACAGAATTTAATGAACTGTCTCTAATATGAAGAAAAGTTCTTTCTTTTTTTTTTTTAGCCCTCTGGAGCAGTTCGGTCATGTTTACCTTTTTATTTAGCTGATAGCTAATTAGCCAATCAGCTGTAGTACATCTAAAAGAGGCTTTTTGTTTTGGTGGGACTTGTTGAGCGGATGTTGATTCTGGATTGTGTTGATGTGAAGCTCAGCTGTTTACAGTGATCTCCTGGTCCTGCAGGTACTGTGACGACAGCCACCTCTGGTACGAGAAGCACACGTCTGAGGTGTGTCGGCGGGTCAGGAGAGTCTCCTTCTCCAGAAGTAAGTGACCTGTGGAGGAAGGTACGATCGATCGACGGCAGCCAAGATGAGTAACTTAGCGGCTCTGAGAGCGCTGTCAGAGCAAATCTTCATCAGCTGCCAGCCTCTGCTTTACACCGGAGTCTCTCCATCTTTTAGAAGTGAAGCTTTATTGAGACTTCACAGATCAATGGGCTTTCTCAGAGCCCCAGGCTTCAGCCTCAGAGACGATCCGCTGTGAACACTAGATAGTAGCCAGTGTATACGGTACAGTCCTCGGTGTATTAGGTAAACCTGGCTAATAGTGATACAGTCTTACGTAACAGATAAACAATAAATCCTCCTTTACAGAGGTGTTGATTATATCACACAAACTAGGTGGACAAAATAACAGGACACCTGTCAGCATGGTGCAGTACAGTTCATTCAGCTGCTTTAGTTTTGGCTAGCTGCACCTAATAAACTGGCAGCTGAGTGTATAGCTCTAGATTTTATGTCTCTTGAAGTACATTTTTTAGTGCAAAGCAACATGACATCAATAACATGAAATTTTCCCAAACTACTAATAAGAATAAAACCTGTTATATTTAACTCTATAGTTCATATAAAACATATTTTTCATATTGTTATTATATTAGTGGATAAAAATATTTCAGTGATCCTTGAAAAAGCTCCTGATCCACTGAAACATGTAAGAGTCCATGTTGAAGGAATGTAGGAGGTTAATCGCTTTCGTACCAAGAGTTAGAAGACAAGATCAACACCGTACTGTAATGTACTGTACATGTACTGTATGTCCAGGGATTTTTAGGCTACATCCATGCTAATACATTTCAGTTTTAAAACGCATCACTTCAGCTACTAAACGCTGCTGCTCCGTTTGAGTTTGAAAACTCCAGGGTGGCGTTTCCCGTCTGGACAGGCACAAATGGCGACTTCTAGAAACAGTGATGCAGCCACCTGCCTCGCCTCCTGATTGGGTCTCATCCGCCTCGACTACCAGTGGTGAATGCAACATGGATAACGAATTACAAATGTTCCCACTTCTTTTTACATGGTCTAAGCAGGAAGCAGGTACCGGAGGCTGGGTTGGGGAAGTCGGGAACCATCCATCGGTGGGAGAAGTGCACAGTACTGGGGAGATGGAAGGTGTTTGGTTTGTTAGTTTGCTTTAAGTGATAGAGGTGGGGAGACGGGACAAATACAGGGCTGTCCTCTGCAGTGGTCCTGCTCCCAGACCCTCAGGGAGGGAGCTGATTCTTTGTGGGGTGTTTTGTGTGTAAACTTTTTTTTTTTCCCCCTGTTTTCCCCTCCATCTTCGTCCCTTTCAGTTATTTCTTCCGATGGATGGAGATTTTTTCTGATATAGAGCTAAAACGCTCGTCTGGACGGAGATCGTTTTCGTTGTGAAACACCGTTTTAAAATGAAAATGTATTAGTGTGGCCGTAGCCAATTATCTCAGCACAAAGACTGGAAACAGAGTGGGATCTGTCTGCAATAGAGTGAATAAGTATATTTCCCAATAAGTCAAACTATTCATTCAATTTTAATGGACCCAGAAAAACAGAACAAAAAGCTCTAAACCTCATGGTTCAGGAGTTCTCTGTCAAAACATAAAAAGCTTTATAAATGGTGTCAAACTGTGGCTCTGTTGAATATGGATCCACACCAGACACAAGTCACCTCTTCCTTGGTGCCTCTGCTGACTTTTCCCCAGATTTCATTGAAATCTGTTCAGTATTTTTTCAACATATTCTGCAAACTAGCTAATAATGAGACAGAAAACGTAATCTGAGGCAGGGTGATTATGCAGCAGGTGATACATGGAGTCAGTAATGTTAAACACATGGGTTCATTTGTTGTTCAAAAACATCCAAAATGACTTTGAGAGATGTCTGATGATGGCGCTTTTAAAACACAGTGGTCCACAAACAGAGCTGTAAGTGTGTGTGTGTGTGTGTGTGTGTGTGTGTGTGTGTGTGTGTGTGTGTGTGTGTGTGTGTGTTTGAATAGGAGATAATTGGGGAGCGCACTTCATCCTTCACCTGTATTGAAGGGGACGTGTCAGCCATGTTGCAGGGAGCCGGTATCAGAGCTCATTAGAGCAGCGGTTCTTGCAAGAGCCTCTGAGCCGCAGCCGTGAATCCTCAGCGCTAATGGGCTCAAGAGGTCGCAGAGAGAGCCGCCTCTCTCACAGCTTCTGACACGCCGATCATCCAGCGCCAGGCCAGAGAGAGGACTCGCCGTGCTGTATCAGTTCTCCTTCAGACTCTCATTAGACCTCAGTGTGTATTTTTAGACTCGTTTTTTATTTTTTTAGAATTTGAAATTGAAATTGACATCAAGGCAGGTTTCTTTATATAGCAACGTTCAGACTGAAGACAAGTCAAGGTGCTTTACAGAGGCAGGGAAATACATTCAATTAGATGTTCAGATATTAAAACTGCATTGGAAAAAGTGGCAGCGAACATGTTTTTAGCCCTGATTTGAACGAGCAGTTTCAGCAGACCTCAGGTGTTCAGGAAGCTTGTTCCCCAGGTGAGGAGCAGAGAAACTAAAAGCTTCTTCACCTTTGCTTGGCTCTGAATCTCTGTCTGTCCCAGACAACAGAGAGAAATCACACAGCTCCTCTAATAAATCCTCCTCAAAATACACATCATGACACATACTTCAACCTCGTTCTAGTTTAAGTAGATACAGTATTATGGTTTTTGCATGAGGATTTCCAGAGTAAACTTTCCAGCAAGACAGATACAGGGTCACTAAGTTGATATAATAGGAGCCTATTAGTGATTATTTCTATAATTGTAAAATAAAAATAGTGAAAATTCTCATCCCAGTTCCTCTGAGCCAAAGATGACGTCTTCAAAAACTCAGGATGTTCACCGTGATTTAAAGCAGCAAATCATCACATTTGACAACCTGGAAAAAGTAATTGGTTGACACTTCAGCTTGATGCACAATTATGATTAATATATACAGCGATTATCGGTGTAGAATGGCACATGATCTCAAATATGTCACACCTGCAAGAATTTGGCAAGCAGCTTTTGGAAGAACATGGAAAATCTGAACAAAAGTGATTTCCATGGTAACTTCAGCTGCAAATGAAGTCATCTTCATTTGCAGTGAAGTGGAAACATGCACATGCTCCTGGTTGGATTGTATGATGGGTACTAAGCTCTGCTGGTGTAAGAAAATTAAAGGACAAAGTGAAAGTGAAGAAATAAAGTTTGGTGGTATTCCCTCCTTCAAGCTTCTTACAGTGGACTCTTCACTTCTCTTTTATCATGTCCACTGACCAGATGAAGTTTAACTCGGGATTAGTTTCACTCGTCATTTAACTGCTGACCGAGCCGGAAGCATCAGTACTGTTACCATGGTTACCTGTAGTTAAATATACCGTGAGCACTTCCCGCAAGTGTTTACTTCTTCTTCAGGTGTCGGTTAGTTTCTAAAGGTAACAGGTCACAGCTGTTGGGATTATTTATAATAATTATAATATATAATATAGTTTGAAGTCAGAGAGTCACAGCAGCTAATATCAGGAAGCTGCAGCAGGTGGAGATTCAGTTTAAAGAGTTTTACTGAAAGTCACTTACCACAGTTATAGTGCAGTACAGAATTATTAGCGATATGTTTTTATATTTGAATCGTTTCTTATTTTAAAGATGGCCACATTAAACCCACAGCTGACAGAAGAATTTGTCTCCTGGTCGTAACCCTCCCTCCTCCCTCCACAGATCTGAAACAGAGATGCCTGACAAAGATGTGCAATAAACTGTGACCAGAGAGGAAGCAGAGAGACACAAAGAGCCGTTCATCCTCACAGGAAGTGACTGAAACTACAGAGAACAGCTGAGTACACCTCTGGAACATCTGGCCAATTTGTGGAAATGGAATCTGGTGATTTTTTTTTTTTTCCCAAAGCTGGATGGGCGTGGAAGACACACTGAAAATTTCTGTCAAATTCTGACATCATCACTATAGTCTACACTGTGATTTGATTTAGACTCGTACAAACACTGTGTTGTCCTGGACTATTTATGAAAATGATGTCGTGTTTCTAAGGTTTGGAAAACAATGTGGAATAATAAAAAAAAAAAAACAGCGGTAGAAATTGTGGTTTCTTCTAAAGAAACTGATTTAGACTTTTCTTTTGTCGGTTAAATAAAAATCGGTTTAATTTTCCCAACTGCCCCCTGCTCCATCTCTGATGCTCCATGTCATTCTGTTGAAATAATGACATTTTATTTCTTTCTCTCAAAGCTCTAAGATCTATTCTCTTGCTTGTAGTAATAGTCACATATGGATGAATCATATTTGTCAGATGCTGCAGTTGCATGTCAGCGCTCTGTCGTTGATTTGGGTCTGTAGCTGTTCTGTCACTTGTGGCTCCTTCTCCTCTTTGTCTTGATATATTTTGAAGGTCTGTTTTTCCTCCTGATTTTGGCTGTTTTGAGACTTCATTAAAAAGCTGTGTCCTGTTTGAGGATGAGGCTCAGGAAATGCAACGTTTCATTTGTGTGTCAGTGTGTCACATAACCGTTTCAGCGTCGCCCCGCCCACCAGGCCATCACCTTTACATGGTGCAGTCTAAGGTGCGTCACCTGTTTATATTACTATAAATGTGTATTATTTAGTAACAACAGCAGCAACCATTGTTTTAATAATGATGACTATCATAAGGCTTGTAATCTATCTGGCGAGGTAAAAGATTGATGGTATTGATCGCTTCATTGATCAGTCTTTACAGGATGGTACAGCAGGAACAGCCGATACTTGTTTTTAGATTCTAAGCAGCAGGTTGATTTTGTTGTACCCCCACATAAGGTGTAGCAATGACGGATCGCTAGCAACACATTTTGAGCGCTTGATTTTGCACCAGTTTTAAACAGTTGGAGTGAAATATTAGGAGAATGGGCTTCTACACACAGTCCGAGTTTTGCTTTTGCTCTTAGAGCCCCCACACTCTGGAACTGACACTGTAACTCATTAACTTCTTTTAAATCTCTTCTTAAAATGCCTTTCTCTGTCTGAGGTCCTCGGTAATGTTTGATATGTGTTTTATTCTGGTTTGTCCCTAATTATTGTTCTTACATAATGAATTGCCTCTCTTAACCTGTCGTCAGATCCTTTTGCATAATGTTGGATTATAGTTTTAATTTATGCTGTTCTACTGTTTTACTGTGCTCAGTCTCTTTTACCTGGTTTTATTTTTCTGTGAAGCAGCAGCTTTGTTAAGAAAAGTGCTTTATAAAAAAAGTTATTATTATAATTATTATTATTATGATTGGGTTAAAAACACAATGAAATTAAGTTCGGCAGCAATCCTCTTGGCAGCATATGTTAAAAATAAAGACAAAAATCATTAAAATATATAAATATATAGTAAAATAAAATAATAATAATAATATAATAATACATTTTATTTTACAGGCTTTTCTTAGCACTCAAGGACACCGTACACAGTTACACAAATTGAGATTAAAACACATTAAAAGTTAATTAATTAATTAACAACAATAAAAATGAAATATAAAAATAAAAACAATACAAAAATGTCCATATAAACACTAACAATATAACTATTATATAAACATTGTTATTAACATTGTTTTACTGTGATAGGGACAGTGTGAGAGAGGAGCTGACATACAGCAAAGGATCATTATTGGTAAGGATCATTATTATTATTGTTGTTGTTATTATAGTCCACTTGTCAAAATGATGATAGCGACATTCACTGAGAGAAAAATGAATGATTGTGAAATATAACTGAAAGCTCCAAAAACTCTTGTGGACCTTGTGAAGCCTAAATTCTCTTTATCATGTTTGGATAATTGATATTCAGCCTAAAGGAAGCTGCAGGGTGTTTTGCATGTTTCTTCACCATAACATGTTTTATGTTATCCCATCCTCATGACGTGTGCACATGCAAACTCCAAACTGTCAGGGTCTTTTTTACCTGTGACAACCTAAAAATACAAAAAAATGAATAACTGGTCACTGAACATCTGTACTGTGGGTGTTTCTGTGAACGTGACATTTGATATGAACATCTGTACCATCTTCCCCCACAGTTGCACCTGTCCCATACAGTGCTCCACTATCAGCCCCCCTCCTCTGTTATTAAATCCACAGCTCCTCTGCTTCACTGACCCCCCCCCCTGCTGGTAGTCATTGATCTGAACTCCTGGGAGATCAGATAAGACCAGGTCGACCCCTGGGTCACCAGATCCTGCCCCCGCGGGACAAAGGGTCTCCCTGTCAGGACCCCACCTCTGTTAAAGCCTCAAATACCTGCACAGGAACCAAACCGAGATAAGATCCTGCTCGGGTGTCACCTGATAGCCAATAAGACCTGAACTGAAGGAGCTAAAGGTGCCCCCCCCCCCAGGTAGGACCGATAACCACAGTTAGTAGAACTGAGAGTTTATTCTGTTGGGAAACAAGACAACAAAAGCACTAAAAGGGCTTCTACCCTCCCTGTTGTTTGCTGATGAACATCAGAACTGTGTCTGATTCATTATGATGACACAGGCTTTCACTCTATAACCTTTATTCAATGAAAGAACAACCACACAACTAAGGTAAGAGTTTCTTTGCTACTTAACACATTTTGAAATCTTGTCTTGTTAACTGTTGCACTGTGTGTTTGGAGGCATGTTAATTCAAATACATACAGGTTGTAGTTTGTGATGCTGTTGCTCTGTAATTTTCTATTGTACCATATAAGCTTTAGGTGACAGACGACTACAATGTCGATAGTGTGAGTTGTCATTTTCATTTACTTACTTACTTAGCAGCTAGAGAACCTCAAGAGTTGATGAAGACCAAAAACAGACCTAAAAGAGAGGGACTAATGGACTTCGTTTCTAGGCCAATATTGTGATGATGATATGACGTGCGATAAATAAACAAATATTAAAGTGTGCAGATACAGTTTTGCTGAGAGGAGTTGAATGGAAATCAGACAAAGGTCACTATCGGTCATCTGCTCCGTCCTCCTCCCTCTGCTGTAGCTATAAGCTTACAAAAGTTTGTAGCAAAGTTTCCTTTTAGCTTGTTCACTATTAGCTGAACGTTAGCGCGCTGTGCTCCTGTAAAACAAACTGCGGAGGTTTAAATCTTGTTGAACAGGTGCTGTGATGAAGGACGCTAATTGCTTTTTTACTCACAAAGGTTGTGATAACACTCACAGACCTACGACTGTATTTTTTTTTTTACAAATAATTGGTTAGACAGTTGTACACATGGATCTGCAGTGGTTATTAGGATAGTCACTAATGAACTGTTCATACCACATTTAAACAAGTAATAATAATCTGTGATATGTCACTATATGAGCTCACCTTGTCTCACATCCTCAGTAACATCAGGAGATGATGAGGGACCTGCCGCTGCTCCACTGTCTGTGGCTGTTTCTGAAACTGAGGGCACTGTGTTTCATGATGTTAAGCTTTGCTGGGTATTTTATTTATTTGATAGATATAATATCATATGACATTGTAGGTATAATGCTGATTTATTTATGAAATTGATTAATTCATGTTATACAATGCAGTTATGCTCCAAGCTAGATTCCTCGCTGACGGCCTTCAATCTAAACAACTGCTGATATTAGATTAAACCGTTCTTAAACCTTTCCTTTGAAATAAATCAGTTTGGAGTCTTCCCTCAGCTTGCTTTTTTTCTCTTTGGACACATATGCAATTAGCTACTAAGATTATTTCCCCCCACTACGACGCCCCTGGCTGGATGTCCAAATAGGCAAATGTTTGCTAACCTGCTACTTATAACTTTAATGAATTCATGTTAGCTTGTTGTACAGATCTGTCCTTGTCTGTGGAAAAAAAAAGATTTATTAATGAACCTCTACTGTTAACAAATCTTTGCACCAAAGTAATAGTAAAGTGTAATTGTAATTGCAATAACACCAGCTTAACACAAGAAAACTCTGTAGCTAGCATGGAAATGTTAAGGCTTGTTGATGGCTCGTATGCAGATTCTTAATTTCAATGAAAATGTACAAAGTAGATCTGTGCAAATCTTTGGCGTTGAACCCAAGTTTAGTAAAGTGTTCAAAGCAAACTGTCAAACTGACAGTGCTTAGCTTTGAGGAGACATAGAGTCTTAACACAGGACCATGTTGTAGTTTATTAAATGTTGCATCCTACTTTTCTGTTATCCTTCAGCAGTAAACTAGCTCCAGCGAAGAAATTGTCCTGTTAGTGATTAAGCTAGCATTAGTTAGCCATCTAGCAGGGAGAGCTATAAGATTTTGTCGCTAAGCAGCAAACAACAAAGTGAAGTGAAATTTCAAGTGGATAAATGTAGAAATATGTAATCAATTTACTTTTGAAATTTGGTATGATTTTGATTGAAGCCAGCAGTTGCGGTGCAGTGTTTAGTTACTACATCAACAAAGCACCCTGGTCTCTTCATGGTAATAGCATCTGAGGCTCATGGATACTGTGCCATTAAACATGGGGAAGCATGATTTGTCAGGAGGGAGGGAAACACTTAAAACTTAAAACCAGTCTCCATGACACAAAATTCATTTATCGGAAATCAGTTCTCCTCTTTTGTGATCAATTTTTGAGATTTAATCATATGATTATAGAGTGATGAAGCTACAACTTTCTTAAGCCACAGATTATTTATTTGCATTAAATAAAATATATTTCACAAGCAGACAGACAGACCTTTTAAAGGGTCTACCTCAAAACTTTCCAATTGCTCCTTTAACATGAACTTTTGTAGATCTTACAAATGACATTTTGT